TGTCAGAGTTAGTTGGCGGCGTAGAGGACGAAGAAGAGGCGGGTGGAGGGACGATGTTTGGTGCATTTCGAGAGACGCAGTTGATCCGAAGATGTCCAACAAGTCCGATTCGACCTCGGAAAATCCGTTGACATCGAGGACACGTTAGCAGCGGTTGTGCGTAAGCGTTGCCTTCTGGGCGAAGTTGTGATTTACGGGCTTCGCGTTTCATTTTGTCGGCGGCGATGGCGTTGGCTTCCGAGTGTAGGCCGCTGGGTTTCCTCATATGCAAACTAGTACTGCGTCAGGCCGCTGCATCGACGTAGGGCAGCCCCGCCGAAATCTGGAGGCGGCATCGAACCGGGGTTCCCCGGCTTTATTGGGGTCCACAGGATGCTCAGGATCAATCATGTGTTCGAGGATGGAAGAGCACTCATCGATCGGGTCGGGACTCGGTCGAGAGCCCCATAGACAGTCACATAGAGACCAGCAAAGTAGATTTGGCGAAAGCAAGCATCTTCAATTGTTCTTTGTGTCGGTGGGGGATTTACAGGTTTCCGCGCATCAAGGAACTTGTCGCAATAAGTAATGTAACGCTGCAAAATAAACAGTGTGACTTTCGTCAGGTCAGCACGGGGCATCTCATCAGCATATGTAGAACCGTTTCCAGATGCAACTGTCTTGCTCTGCCCAACATCCTCGTTTCCACTTCCGTCTGGCTCATGCTAAACGCAGGCATTTTTATTTGTGGGATTGATCGGGGTTCCTGCATTCACCTGTCCGGTGTCCTTCGCTTAGGAGTGCATTTTCTTCAGCTGTTTTCGCTACTGGTGCGTCACATAAACTTCTGTGCTTACCGAATCATTCATTTGCTTGCTCCGATTTCTACAGATAATGCAAAAAACCAGTACTGTTTGTTGGATGTCCATGCGTTTCGAAATTTAACTTTGCATGGGCGCACCCAGTCATAACGATAACCGGCGCTAAGTATGTTCTCACGTCTTCTAAAGTCATCCACGAATGCAATATCCCTATCTTGGCACCTATGCGACAGCATATCCGCATGGTGTTGCTGTGACCCTGCTCCGAACATGCCTGTCACAACGCTGGACTTCTCGCGAGTGTCAGCCTGTGCGCACCAGGGCTGCCTGGCATTCGCCAACGTGGCTATCCAGCTGACCAATCAGATTCAAGGCCGTGTCAGATGTGCCCAGGTTTGAGACGCATTGACGAATTCCCTGCCGGACACCTGGTACGCCTCAGTCCCGGCACGGGACGTGCACTTGTCCGGCTGATAACTCCCTCTAACCCCTCATCCATTTATTCTGTACAGGATACATCCTCCTCCCAACGGGCGTCCACCTTCTCTTTCCATTTGGAACCGGGTCTGGAGGTCGTGGTAGCCAGGGTTTCACGGACGACGTAGGCTGTTGTGGTAGTGTCTAGCGTGGTAACTATTACATGAGCACAACCCGACGAAAAAAAGAGGCAGCTTCTCGCCGTCTTCACCATTCGGTTCTTAACCTGTTTTCATCAAGGCCCTTGACATCAGTCATGCGAGCTCGTCATACTCCATGAAATCTTTTCAGAGCACAAATACTAAGGGATATTTATAAGAATTACAAGTGGATCTGTCCAAATTAGCATGAACCTCGATGGTACTGTGATGCTCGTAGGCATTTTGCAGCCGGTTTTTCTCGGAGTGTAGGCCGCTGGGTTTCCTCATATGCAAACTTGTACAGCGTCAGGCCACTGCATCAACGTAGGGCAGCACCCGCCGAAATTTGGGGGCCGCATCGACCCAGGTAGAAGCCGGAGTCTCCAGCACCTCGAACGTGTGCTCTCATCGATAGCAGTAAAAAATCAGAACGGAGGAAGACTCATCAGTCTTAAAGGAGGACAAACGAACGTTGAAGGCAAAGCGAAAAAGTAGTAGGGGATAGAGGACATGGATTATTGGGAAGAACTGATAGTGGTCGACGTCCACGTTCTGCGAAGGTCGTGTTGTTGTTTGTGGAGGATGCGAATATTGCCATTTTGAAATAAATTTTTGACTCGGGTTGGCTGCAGGAGCGTCCAGTGTGTCGAAATATAGAAAAATATGAACCCCCGTAGGAGGACAAAAGTTTGAAATCCAATTCTAAACGCGCGCGCATCGGTTGGAGAAGTCTCCTAGCGACCGTTTGGCACGTAATTTGTCACTGCAAAAATTCATAATGAAGGTAATCTGTGAACGCCATGGTTTGGACGTGCTGCGTAACGAGCGTCAGATACAACAACCGAAAGACCCCCAGCTGCGATAGAAAAAAATTTCTGAGGCCTTTATCGGATCGCACAGTTGCGAACAAAAAATTACGTCGGACAAACCAGAAGACTGCTCTGAACTGAAATGGCCGAACACACGGCAGCAGTGCGGAGAAATTATGCCAACCCTCAGGTCGCCGCGGGCCATTCAACGAAACCTGGCTACAAGTTGAAGTTCAGTGAGGTTCAGATTCTCGCGAGGAGTGAAAATAACATGAGCATCTAGCTGTTTAAATCCTGGTTCACTGCCGCCCGCCCCCGTCTATTAAGTAGTTCAATGACCTTCCTCATCCCTGTTGGGTGCTGAGAGTTCGCGTCTAGGTGGAGTAATAAGCCTGACGTTTCTGATTCTCACCCGAATCCACCACCAGAGACAGTCAGGTAAGGGTGGTGGGTTGCCCAGGTGTTGTAATATCTATAGGATGCAGTTGCTAGGCCGCTACATGCCTATCACAGTTGGCAGCTCACGAGTGCATCACAGCTCGACTAGCCAGGTGTTGAAGTATGCAGTTGCCATGCCGTTAGTACGCATCAAGATTATCGGCTCCCACGCTTATCGCACGCTGTCGAGTGGCTGACTGCCGGATTTCGTCATCCGTTTGGACTCTTGGGTGACTTGGCTATTGTCTCTGATGATGGGTCCGAGCAGGAATGTGAAATGCCAGGCCAATAAAATCCTTGTTCGGCCTAATTCGTAACACCAGCCGCTGCGAGCCTGCAGTGAAGACGGTGCTGAGAGTGTGTCATCCTCTTGTCACTGGGTGGATGCCCCTATGCTACACACGCAACTCGAGTGCGACTCCAGTCTGCACGCACGAAACCCCACCCAGCCACCAACTCCCTCCCTCCGCACCAGATGAGTAGTTTTTACTGCCAAGCGATGCATCTAGCCTTGCCTGGGACTGCTCGTGGCTGGCATTTCGTTTGTGATCGATGCGTCTAACCCTAATCTAATGAGAGCATTATTCGCCATGACATAATGCAGAACTGCAGGTTTGCAACCAATTTACGGGTGACGTCGTGCCACGCGTGGAGGTAAATGCTGCGCAAGTCTGTCACCAGTATAATCTCAATAATTTTCTCATGACTGTGGTCCAGTCAGCACAGAATTGTCGGTCATTTTCACAAAGTCATTCATTGAGTCACCGAGATTGTCGTTTGTTGCGCTCTTAACGTTGGAGTCTTCAGGAAAGGCCAGTCACCGAGCCGAACTTCGAGCTCCAAACTAGTTAAATGTTTAAGTTTTCTGTAGTATTAAAGGTAGGGCAACAAATGCCGTCTGCTCTATGGCCTCACAGCAGCGCTCTATACTATTTGTTTACGGATACCTCTGACTGGACGGCTGTCGTATGAAATCTCTGCTTATAAGAAATCCTGCAATCGCGTTAGTACTTGACAATCCCTGGTCCCTAAAGATATCTCCTGAATGTTGGCTGCAATATACGCACTATCCTGTCAGTATGCCGTGTTTACAGGAACTTCTGATAGGTTGTGTTTTTTGAGAATAGGATTGGTCTCAGGACTAAGACTGACTGGTCTCCAGTGTAGAAGGTATAGTAGTGTTGGCCAAATGCCATAGTTCACGTACACATGCCCTTTGAATATTTATTTGCGTACTTTACTCAAAGAACTGTCATTCAAGTTATTCTACCTGAGCCATTTTATTTGCTGGTTTTTTCGCATGAACATACGAAACCCCGCGCATCCGCCTTCGTCCGCACCAGATGAGTACTTTTTACTGCTAAGCGATGTACCTAGACTGGCGTGAAACTGTTCGTGGTTGACTCTCGGTTTGTGAATACTGCGCACGCGATCTTAATGCAATGAGAGCAACATTCGTCATGGCATAATACAGGACTACAGATTTGCAATCAATCCACAGGCAATTTATCGCTGACGACTGAAATACCATCTGCCTGAGTCTGCCCATTTTTTAGAAAAGCACAAAACACGGAAACGTCAAAAATGGCTGTAATTTAGTAAGTTTCGCTTTTAGACGTATAGAGTGTCTTCTTATCCATCAAAACGGAGTAAATATCAATGTACAAATAACATAAAGACTAAACAGAGTGTTTTCTGTGAAGTCCACATCTAAGTATCGTGTAAGAGTTAGTGTAATCTCATGTATGACGGTTTGTCAACAGCCTTCAGTCGGAGTATAGATTCGAAAACAGTTTGCGGAGATTTCGCGGTATTTTTGACTTACTTGGCCTGATTGAGATGTGGTTCAACAGGAGAAACTAGATTTTGCTTGGCTTCGCCGATGGAGGCGTCTTAAGAACAAACATTTACATAACGTCACATGCTGACAGGCCAATCGGTGATCGGCGTAATCTTAAACATATTACAGTACGTGACCTATCTCATGAAATCTGAAAATGGAAACTGATGAGAGAATTTCTGGACGCCTTTAACGTTGAGCATTTTGTTCGCTCTTCCACTTCCTTTAATAAAATGTCCTTTTCTTGTACAGAAATTGTGTTTACGTAATTATATCAAGTAAAATATCTGTAAATTTTAGCGAAAATGGACGTTGGATGATATTCGTGTAATTTCCTATACTAATACGTGTCTTAGACTCCGGTTACGCATCTGAGCGGCTTTTTCATTGAAAGGACATTAATTTGCCCATGAGAGTTTTAATAAACAGGTTTGGCCGGACTATAAATTTTATTTTAAATTCGATCATAGCCATGTTGATCCACCTGCTAACACAAAGGTTATTTTAAGAAAACCAGAGGTTTTATCAATTCCATCAACGGAGTGCAGTAATAAAGCACTTCTTAAAGAGGTAACTTACTACCGAAAGTTTTTTCATTGATCAAAGGCATATTCGTTGCTGACTGTCGTTGTGGACGGACATTTTTCTCGAAAGTGAAGTTTTATGTTTGAATGAGTCTTCGAATGTGACCCAAACGACCATCTTCGTGAAAAGGAGCGCCCGAACACTCACTAATTCGCTAAATGCCTTCTCAACAGACAGGCAATTCAGAATCTGCCTTTATGGACGATCGGGTGAAAACACTGAAAATCACTAAGTATTCATCAACATTTCGAGGCCGATTTGAAACTCAACGTTATCCAAACCGAAAGAGAAGTGTAAATTAATTTAACGGAAGAATATTCATCTCTATTAACTCAAAATGGCACGTTTACGATCACGCCTGTCAGTTCTATTTAAATTTATTAGGCACCGACCGGTTTCGTGGCATGTCACCTTATGAAAACTGTTGTTCCTACGACGTCCCCATCGGTGAAATCAAGCAAAATCCAGCTTCTCTTGTTGAACCCCATCTCATTTACTTTAAACAAATAAAATGAAGGAGGACTCACTGGAAAACTGTTTTGGAGTCTGCACTCAGAATGTAGGCAGTTGACACACCGTCATATATGAAATCACACTACTCATTAAACGATATTTAGATGTAAACTTCACTAAAACACTGTTATTAGACGTTGTTTTATGTCTACTTTCATATTTACTACGTTTTTGGTATGACAATACATTCTGTACATCTAAAAACGACGTTTACTAAATTAGAGCCATTTCTGACGTTTTCGGGATATTGCGCTTTTCAAAATAAATCGGAATTTCTAAATAACGCAACACTGTCTTTAACAATTCTTATGGGTTTTTACTGCTTTTAAACTTGTAGTTAATTAACATAGAAATCGGACTCGTGAAATGGTGTCGGTTTGCGAGTGATTAGCAATCATTCGTAAATTTCGACACATTTCATGCGTTAGGTCACCAACTGTATTTTTTGGTAGGGGGCGCTGACCGATCGTTCTTACGGAACTCACTCGTTCCGTCGTGCCTTACGGGCTCTCTCTCGAACCCAACCAGCAGCCGCACAGCGGCGCATGATACAGGCAGTATGGTATTACCTACAAAGACAAGGGAGACTTGAAATGGCCATTTCTGGCGTATAAGCTGTCGTTAGCTAGTCATAACCAAGGGCCCAACCCCTCGTAGCTGTGTCATGCAGAGGCAGAGTATCGGCGAAACACATGTCTGGGCTTTTAGTTGTTACATGTGTCCGGAGTACGGTATGGTATCTTTGATGCATACATTTCATACTACTTGTGGTAGTACTCGTTTTTTGAATTGGCATTACGTGGTTATTCTACATTAGTCGATTATCTTCGACTCATGGGCTCGTGGCCCAGTGGTTAGAGGCGTGTACATCTAACCAACAGGTCGCGAGTTCGGGCCTCGCGTGTTCCACGCTTCGGGATTGGGTATGACTGACTGACGACGGCTAATAAGCCAGAAATTGCCATTCCAGTATTCCTTGTATTTGTCTGTAATAACATACAGTCTATATTATTTTGTGTTTATAAATAGAACTTTTTCTTGCGTTAAATTAACGTGTAATTTTTAGTCTCTTCAGGATAACGTTGCTGATTTTCAGTATTGTCATCCGATCGCCCATAAAGAAAGATTCTATAACATGTTTCTGTTAAATTTTTAAATAAGGCATTTATCGAAGTAGCGAGTGTTTGGACGTTCTTTTTCATGAAGAAGGTCGTTTGAGTCGAATTTGAACACTCCCCCAAGCATGAAACTTCATTGTCGAATAGAATAGCTGTCCACAACGAAAGTCAGTAAGAAATAGGCTTTCAATCACAATTTGAAAACTCTCTCTAATAAGTTACCTCTTGAGGAAGTGCTTTCTTACTGCACTCCGTTGACGGGTCTCTGTGTACTTTGCACTTTTGCACGGTGAGGCCAAGAAAAAAATATGACACTTTTGGCCGTTTCTTTCACCTTCCTAAACCATACTGGTATATTTCCACCGTAAACGCAAGATAATATCTTTCTTCTCTATATATTGCGGCCATTTGCATTGTTTTTGCTCGCTTTTAGACTCCGTTCTTTGATTATGAATGCACGAGAGAGCGTCCACATAAATACTGATATTCTGCTGAAGCTGTGCATGTTTTGCCCGTTCCATTTCTGAATAAGGCATTTGCGCAAGCTACACTACACGGCGAGGAATGTTTCTTATCTTCAAGACTGGAAATGACCATTTGGTAGTGGTCATTTCGGTGACATAACGTTAACTCCTCTAAACGGCAAAACAATTTCAGCCCATTTAAACAAAGGAATCCCTGTTTGCGTTATTGCTGCACTTCAGGGCACCAAGTCGCACTGACCTGCTAATATGACTTTTTTTAAAAATCGTTAAAATATTTGGTTCTTTTAAAATGACCTTTGTGTGAGCAAATAGATTAGCACGGTTAGGATCGGACATAAAACCAATTCTCAAGTCTGCAAACCTCTGCTTATTAAAACTCCCGCGAGAAAATTAGTCACCTTTTAATTAGAAACATGTTCAAATGCACAACCGAAGTCTAGGACAGATATTAGCATATGAAATGGCACGAATATATTGCAATTTTCTTTTTTTCTAAAAAAATAGTTAATATTTTGCTGGATATAATTGTGTAAACACAATCTCTGCACAAGAAAAGGACATTTCATTGAAGGGGCCGAATAAGCAATCAAAATGCGTAACGTTTTAGACGTTACGTATTCTCTTTGGGTATTTATTTGCGAACGTTACCAAAGGACTGTCTTAAAAATTATTCTACGTAAACTACTTTATTTGCTCGTCTTTTCGCATGGACATACGAAAGCCTACCCAGCCACCCTTCCCTCCGCACCAGATCAGTATTTTTTACTGCTCAGCGATGCACCTAAACTGTACGTCTGTTTAGCCGGACGACCATGTGGCTTTCACGAGTATTCTTTATCAGCACAAAACGAACCAAAACCCAGTGGCAATAATTGAATTTTCGCAGACTGTGTCTTGATTATCAAGTTACACGTCAGTCCATTTGGCTTTGAAAGTGCGCCATCGGCGGTTTTTTAGTCCACGTAGCCCTGACCAATAAAAATAACTCGGGGGGTCTCACCTACGCATTACACCACACAACTGTGCCGACTATCGCCTAATCGAATCCGCACTTTGAAATTGGCCAATCAGGACCCGAAGGTCACGAGTGCGTGCGGGCGGGTTCAAAGTGTGCTGGCACTATAAGAGGCAGTGCTAACGGCGCTCGCGATCATTCTTCGCTCCTGTTCCGGTTATCACTCGAAATGGCGCTCGCAGACGTCGAAGTATTCGAAGACGCATTTCCCCTTGTTCGTAGCTGTCCAGCCCTCAACGAGATTCGCACGTCAGGAGAATTGAAAGAGCTCGTTATAGAGGTAGCTCTCCTTCCTGTTGCCGTTCTTTACACGGCAATTTGTTCATGCTTGTTAGGTGAAGCACGGCGCTATTCTCAATGCCCATCGAATAATACTAGCAGCTCGCATTCCGTCATTGCGAGCTGCTCTCAGTGGCGACCTCGGGAAGGATAATTCGGTCCTAAAATGGCCGACGGTGCCTCTGAAGTAAAGTCATCCTCCTTTTTCTGATTTTGCTTTTGCACTTTCTAGCCTCGCAAATTCACTCCTCCAGTATGTGTACACCGGGCAGTTGGAGGTGACCCAAACGAATGCGATGGCCATAGTGATGTTTGCCAAAATGATGAAACTGTCTGATCTGGAGAATTGGGGAGTGCAATTCATGACCAATAGGTAAGCAAGTGCCGGTTCTTTCTGTTTAACTGTCGGCTTTAAAGAGTGAATTTAGAAAATCTGGCAACCACGTGGGACTTTGCCAGATCTTCGAATATGGGATCACTGATGGAGACTTGCATTAATCTGATGCAAGCTCAGTTTACGAGTTTTGTCTCTTCTGACCTATTTGTTCGCCTGCCAGCTGACACCGTGCTGACTTTGTTGCGAAACGACTATCTGTCAGTAGACTCCGAGGAGGCAGTTTTTGAGGCGATTTCAAGCTGGGTGGGTGCCGGCGATAAAGAGTGCGATAATGAGAGACTGAGATTGCACGCCCCCGACATGTTAAAGGAGGTTCGTTGGTGTCAGACGACTCTCCAATTCCGCAGTCGCCTAGTCGATAGTCATCCAATTTTCCAGGATAGCATCAGTTGTGCGTAAGTATATGCTCTTCCAATTCGCAATTTATTTTCTAATGAAAGTCGTTTTATGTCTCAGGTGGAGCAGTGGATGTGGTTCGCAGACAAGGACAAACCTCCGTGTCCCTTCAACCAACGTCGGAGAACGCATCCTGCGATCTTCTTCGTATTTGGAAAGGACAAAGATCAGAACAGGTGGTCTGTTCTGCGTTTCGATCCGCAGCTGGAAAAGGAACAGCGGATTTCCGACATGGAGAAGCGTGAATACGCCTCCTACAGTGTCGTGGGCGGTGAGTTGCCTGACAGTTACGCACCTCCTCTTCTGTGCACCTGCCTTGTTTTCCTTTTTTGTCTAATTTGACCAGTTGGTGTCTCTTTTTGCCAGAATTATAACAAACACACACACAGTCCTGCCAGTAAAGCTGCCATCGCCGCACAATGCATAGGATTGCAGTAGTAGTAGCAGTAATTGAGGGGTTTTGAGGTCTTGGAGTTGTCCATTCGCCTGGCCTGTCCCGACGCGTTTGCTGTTTTCCGTCTTCAATTTACCCAACCGTGTCTCCACCTGCGTGGTTTGTGTCCGTCACTGGCGGCTACTCAACTGGGAGATTTGTCCATCCACGTCTTTTTCACCGACGTTGATATTTCCCCTCTTTCTGTCAACTACACGCCTTTTTTATTTTATCTTTCCCATCTCTTTTTACCTTTCTTCCGGGCAATTTTATGAAACTTTTTTCTGTCACACCTCACCCCCACGGAAGAGAGCATTTTCGTGGTTGGAGGAGACACTGCGCAACAGGAAGACTCCACGAGTGTCGAGGAGTTTCTGGTGGCAGAACGGCGCTGGCGCAAACGGACGTCCCTCGCCGTTGGACGCAGCGCGCACGCAGCCGCAGTCCTGACGGAAGCCGGAGGGGAGGCGCTTATCGGCGTTTTCGGTGGATTCCGTAACGGTGGACGCCTTTCCTCCTGTGAATTCTATGAAGTCAGTCGGGACAGGTGAGAGCACACTCGTCCCGGCGCCTCCTTTTTTTTCTTGCAAAATCTTCCTGTTTTGCCTTCTCACTCGTCTCCTCCTCCTCCTCCTCCTCCTCCTCCTCCTCCCCAACACACAGGTGGTTCAAACTGCCCGATCTGCGAGAGAAGAGGAGCGCCTCAGCGGCTGTCTACCTGCCCGGCGACAGTCGAATCTTCGTTTTTGGCGGCTGGAATGGCCTCACCTCCGTGCTGGCTTCTGTGGAGTTCTGCCACCTGCGAGCAGACTGGCGAGAGAGGGCGGCCTCCTCGGACTTTTGGCAGCCAGCAGCACCCATGAGAACTGCACGATTCGGGCTGGCAGCGACACACTTTCGGGGGAAAATCATTGTCGCCGGGGGAAGGGGTGGTGAAAACAGATTAAACGTGGTGGAGATGTTCACACCGCCAGATGCCAGGTGTCCCCAGGGCCAGTGGACAGTGCTGGCCGGCATGAAGGAACCCCGCTCGCGTTTCGCTCTTCTCACCTCCACCGACGACGCCATCTTTGCTCTCGGTAATGACGCCTCCTTCCTCCCCCTTTGCTCTACACTGACTGCATTCCTTCTCCACTTTCTCCTCATTTTCATGCCATTCCATGGCCTTTTCTGTGTAATCCCTTTTTATGAGGAAGATTAAGACAGTCCGTATGATGGCAACCATATGGAAATGTGACGTTGCATGGCGTTTCGTAAACATAACGAGGTTAGGGCCGATGGTAGGCCGTTTGTAGTGCAAATCGTCTGCTTATTAAAGTAGATTTTTACGAGAATTATGCAGCCGACTGGTTAAAGCGTCTTTGGTAGACACTGCGTTCAAAGCTTACTTTGTCTGCTCTGAGTTTTATTGAAATAATCTTTTACTAGCGGTATTGTACAAATCTTATGCTAATTTCTCTATTTTGATATTTATGACAGTAGAATTTCACTGGCATTTTTCACAATTTGCAGGCTGCTGGTCTGGGGGATCAGGAAACACGGTGGAGACTTTCACAGCACCAGGCGGGCCAGCTGATGTCAGCAACGACTTGACATCTTGGAGTTGGTCGTCGAAGAAACCACTGGAGACGCTCGCACAGTTCGCAGGAGCTGCAAGCATTCGCATGTAAACTTCTGCGTTTCTCGAAGTTCCTTCTATGACCCGCATGTTAAGAAATAAACTAATTTCAATGTAAGCTGTTTTGTCGTTGTTTTTGAAAACGTCAAAAGGGTGTGCAGTGCCCAACACCTAAGGCAACCGATTAATGGCGTGATTATCTCTGAAGGGAATGAAATGCATGAACCAGTTATTTTTTACGAGGGAGATGCTCGTTTTCGGGATTAATGCTTGATTATGGAGAGAAATCATTGTCGCCAGCGGATAATATAATGGAGACGAATTAGATTTAGTGGTGGAGATGTTCTCACTGCCAGGTGTCCCTAGCGGGGTTACTAAACATGGCCTCCATTTGTTTGTTAAAAAAACACCAAAAGGGTGTAAAGTGTCCAACACTTTGGGTGACAAAATAATCTCTAGCATATCTCTGCGAGGACTGAGAGATGTGGTCGACGTAAGTTTAGCAAAGAGATGCCCACTTTCTGACGAAGTGAGCAACACTATCTAGATCGCAGATCGGGGAGCTTGTGTTTTAATATGAATGGCTTACGTGCTACTTACTGAGGCCACAGGCTACAGGAACAGTTAGAGAGTGGACGGCGGACCTGGCACCATGAATTCGGACAGATGTCACCAAGTACTAATCGTTTCCCACTACAAAAGCAAATGTAGCCCACCCCCGCGAAATGCGATAGACTGGTGTGTGAGTTGCTTTCGGCCTTCTCTATTAAGGGAATTCGGCATAATTGATTGTGACCTGATATGTCATGAAACGTTACATTCCTTAGTATTCGGTCGACGGAAAATGTCGGCGGCATGTACGCTGTCTGTCTCTGTAGCAGAAACTGATCCGTTTCCTTCTCTGAAAATGATTTAGAGGTTGGGCTGTCTCGGGATTTATGCTTAGCAAAGATTTCACTGAGCATGAGGAGCTCACATGAGTGATGTCAAGGGTATTTAAGAAAACGCATGTTCAAACATAACCCCGGCTTGTGATTTGGTTACAACCAGAGATACGATAAACTGAATCGGCACTATCCGCCTGGGAAGGCCCTGCTTCATGTTGCGTGCCGGGTGGACAGTCAGTTATCAGCGGCGCACCTCGAGTTGGTGGCCCCTGGACCGTGAGGGGGCCTGCGCGCCTGACGAGAGAAAATCGATCGCGCTCGATGGATGACGCAGCTGGCAGATTTCGCCAGATGGCCGAACGCTGAATGCGAGCAGAGGCGCCCCTAGATGACCTTGGCAGCAGGTAGTCAGTGGCGTGATGCGCTGGATCAACACGCGAGCTAAATCGGGGCTTGTCTAGCGTTAATTAGAGACGTGCGTTCTGGAAATGTCAACATTTTGTCCGACTTTCAGACATACGTAGACTTTGTCTTTGCTAGATATCCACATTTCCATAAAAAATATCAGTTACGGGTGTCATAAATGCCAGAGTCCGTTATAAAAACAAAAGGCTGTGTTTTTACTTAAAACACGGTTAGATCGCCGTCAGTCACAATTTGGACATATCTACTCGACAGGTCATGAGACGAAGTGCGAATATTTGCATGAGTGCGGACGTTTTTATTAAGAATACGCGTGTGATAGTATAGGACTTTCAGCTCATGCATATTTCACCCTCTGTTCGCCCGTCCAACTTCAATCTGTTGCTGTCTTTGTTCGAAAATGATCTTGAAACTTCAAGTGAACATTACTTTGGCCCTAGTGATCGAGTGATTTTCCTCACAGTAAAATAACACTGTTTAGGAAGCTGCAGTTCTGAAAATTATATGGGCTCCTAAGAGAAACCGCAGTGTTCTCCATACTTACTTGATTCCCTTTCGACAACGAAGGCATTATTAATCAGTCACTGTAAATATCGGTAATTTGCGGTCAGAAGCCGTTTTACATTCAAAGTGAAACAAATACGATGGAGTTGTGATTAACAATGAAACACGCCATTCCACGCCATTAGTGTGGATTCGACAATCTAAAGGAGTGTTTCACCCAACATAGGTACACGAAGTCTAGCCAAGTAGGATTTAACTGAATGTTCAAGTGCAATACGGGTTTATAACGTAGTTATGGGTTTCATGTTTTTCAAATACGCGTGTTGATATATTCGCATAAATTAGATATGCATAATCCAGGACAGCAAACCAAGGGTGGGTAAGAGAAGATGCGAAAAATGAAGTAAGCTTTTCTGATCTTAGAACCCTTGTACATCGAAACGGTGAACACACACACACACTGAATTTTAAACTAAACATTTCGTCGACTTCAGTCTGCCAGGCAGACCGCGTTTTTAACAAAAATTTCAGTTTCCAAATTCACAGAATCGCCAAAGTCAGTTTTTAGAACCAAAGGATGATATTAGTATTTAATAAACGGCTAGATCGCGGACGGTCACAATTTAAACATAGTTGCTCAGGAAATCGTCAAACGAATCACGAACAGCTGCAGTGAATGCGGGCGTTATCATTATAAACATGCGTATGATAGCATAGGAAATGCAACTTATAAATATTTCACCCGCTGTACGTCCAAAACTTCAATATGTTGCTTTCCTTGATCAAAAAGGTATCGGGAAACTCAAGTGAACATTATTTTCACTCCAGCGATCGAATGATTCTCTTTACATCTAAATGACACTGTCAAGAATGCCTTACTTTTGAAGAATAAGTGGGTTCAGTCTTAGAAGTTGTTCTAAGCCTTACTGGTGGGATTCGAACCCACGACAGCAAAGAGAGGCTTTAGTACAGCCAACGCTCTAGCCACCTGAGATACGAGGTCCCCCGGACGACGCGAGTTTAATCACATCTAAATCAAGTTTTCCCGTCCGATCTACAACAACGTTTGGAATCCACCTAATCTGTTACAGTAAGCTGAATGTCTAGGCATGATTTCCCAAGTAAAACATCTAGAATCCACCTGATGGCTACGAATCTCACGTAATTCAAACGTATTATGGCAGACACGATAATTGTTGCGTCGTCCGATGGAGCCTCTTAGCACAGGTGAATGGTGCGTTGGCTGAATTAAGGCTTCCCCATGCTGTCGTTTTTTCAGACCCCATCGAGACGCCGAGTATTTCATATCGGTATCAACATAATTGGTCTGTGTTCTTGAGTTTAATACGGCAATATCGACAATTGTCGGCCAAGCTTCAATAGGCTCGCCTTGCCAGTCAAAATAAGGAGGTATGGATTACTTGACATAGTTAAACCCTTGCTGTCGTGGGTTCCAGTCCCACGGTGGCACCGATGTTTAACAATTCAATCAACGTGGATGTGTGAGACTTTAGGAAATATATTCTGTAAACTGAAGGGGCTCGCGGTTCTAACGGATAGGCGGTTTAGGACTATACAGTGGTTTTACCTTCAGTTATGGCACAAAATTTATATGTCAGGTAAATTCCCGCGAGCTGGTTGCAAAACTGCAGCTCTGTGTTACGTCTTACGAATGTTGCACTCATTGCATTAGGGTTCTTGTCATCATTATTCACAAACCAAGTGACAGACGCGAGCAGATCACGCCACTCTAGGTGCACCGACTTGTACTAAAATCTACTGATCCGATTCGGAGGGAGGGAGGGAGCTGGCTGGGTGGGTGGGGTTTCGTGTGTGCAGATTGCAGGCGTGCTGGTTTTGTGTGTTAGCAGGTTGGGGCTTCGATTCCCGTAAAAAAAGAGGATGACGCACTCTCTAATCGATCTTTTCTTCAGTCTCACAGCGACTGCCGCCCTGAACTACGCTAGACCTTCGCCTAAGCTTCATGTAGCCACAAGTGATCCAGATGGTGGTGTGGAATTGTTGTCTTTCAGCGGCTGTAATTCAACCGCAGTCTGCTGAAGAGCGTGTTGCAGATCAGAGTTGGACAAACATCGGCAAAATCGCGCTGCTTGAAAACTGCACAACGTCCTATAAAATACAGATGTATGGTTTGATCATGGGCAGGATAAACGACGGTGGCGTAAGTGACAGTGTGAGAACGAGAAGGATTAGATCAGGTGATGCTTCGGCTCCACGGTGGCATGAAGGCGCGAGACCCAGACATTGGGACATGACAGGAGATATCCAGGTGAACGACCTCGAGGTAAGCTGAATATTGCCTTGTTGTCTTTGCCCGCTCACCATCTCCATTTAGCAACGAGCTGGCTCAGCGACTAGACAATATAACGATCGCTGCCGCCGCAGACGAGAACGGCTCCGTGGAGAACCGCTGGTGTCAACAGCGAGACACGGTCCAGTCGACTGTGCTCGCCGTCCTCGGTCGCGCTCCCCGTCAACACCAGGACTGGTTCGACGACAACGACGCCATCATCAGCAATCTGCTCGCCGAGAAGAACCGCCTTCACATAGCCTACGTAGACCACCCCACTGAAGACAAAAAAGCTGCCTTCTACCGCAGTCCCCGCCAGCTTTAGCAACGACTGCGCGAGATGCAGGGCGCCTGGACTGCTCGCAAAGCTGAGGAGATCCAAGGCTACGCGGACTGCAACGAATGGAAGAACTCCTTCTCCGCGATAAAAACTGTCTACGGTCCCCCAACGAGGGGCACTCCTCCTCTCCTCATCGCCGACGGTAGTACTCTCCTGACTGAGAAGACACAAATCCTGCAGCAATGGGCCGAGCATTTCCGAGGCGTCCTCAATCGCCCCTCCGTTATCTCAGACGCCGCCATCGCCCGCTTGACGCAAGTGGAGACCAACGTGGGCCTCGACCTACCACCATCTCTCCAGGAACCCATCAGGGCCGTGCAGCAACTCTCCAGCGGGAAAGCACCCGGATCAGACGCAATCCCTGCTGAGGTCAACAAACACGGAGATCACCAACTGATGGATCACCTGACTGCGCTCTTCCAGGAGATGAGGCAACATGGTGAAGTCCCACAAGACTTCAAAGACGCAACCATCCCGCATCTCTAAATTCGAAATGGGACCGCCATTTTGCGACAATCACCGCGGCATCTTCTTCCTGAATATCGCCGGAAAGATCTTCGCTCGCATCCTGCTCAACCGCCTCAACATCCATCTGGAACAGTGCCTTCTGCCGGAAAGCCAATGCGGCTTCCGTCGTCATCGTGGGACCACGGATATGATCTTCGCTGCCCGCCAACTCCAGGAGAAGTGCCAGGAGATGCGGACCCACCTGTACTCTACCTTCGTGGACCTGACGAAAGCCTTCGACACGGTGAATCGTGAAGGATTGTGGAAGATCATGCAGAAATTCGGCTGTCCGGAGCGATTCACTCAGATGGTGCGTCAGCTGCACGACGGTATGATGGCGCGAGTCACGGACAACGGAGCTGTCTCAGAGGCATTCGCAGTGACCAACGGAGTGAAGCAGGGATGCGCGCTGGCACCAACCCTCTTCAGTATTATGTTCTCTGCCGTGCTGATGGCTGCCGACGGTGATGAACGAGAGCGAGATTTGCGAGCAGACCCGACACACTCACCACATTCGACACATCCGCCAGGTCCATCCGCACCCTCGCTTCATTGACTAGTGCGCCCATTTACACCACAAACTCCTCCATAGCCGACACCGGCGCAACCGACTTCAACTACCCACAATGTCCACGCACTATCACCTCTCGCATTCGCACGGTCTGTCACTGGCGAATTCATCGCACAGAGACTGGCGAAACAACTCCCAGAGAACTAACCTATAACCGCGATGCTTGACTTAACTGTCCATACTGCTTTCGCATGGGTCTTTTCGTTGACATGCGCATCCACGACGAACTGCGGTAGACACCCGCCGGTTACACAACACATTCACACACTCCCTAGCTTCCTTCACCATCACCACCACACATTAACACTCATCCACTGCATGCACCCAACTGCCACCTTCCACGAAATTGGGAAGTGTGCATCTCGACTCGGTCACCAAGCGGCTTCAGCTGCAGGGGTGTGAACTGAGTCTGAGACTATCCCGACACGTCAAGCGTCGTGGATAGGAAGGCTGTTGACTGACGCCCGCAATCGGTCCACGCAGTTCGTCGCGTTGTGCGTGTGTGTTGTGTGGAGTAACGGACTGGTGGGGTGGGGGCGGGCTGAAGCAGCACCTTCAACGGACCTCTCACGCAAGTGAGAGACACGCCGTTCAAACCCCCTTGTGTGAAATCCTGGTGTTTGTGCGTGTAAGGGGGGCCAGGTCGTGCTGTGGCGCGCGCAGGCATCGCCAGTCGACCGTGCCAGCCACCGCTCCCATTTCCCGCTCCAGTTTGCCGACCGGCTCGGACGGCGGCCGGTGTGTGGGAATGGGAAGGGAGAGTGAGTTCGACGACTCAGCCCACTTTCCTCACTACAAGCAATCTGACGTGCATGAAGCTATCACGGTGCGCTAAAAGCCGTGGCTTGGAAGGTTGCCAACTGACGGGGTACCTTGGAACTCCTCCTTCACTGGAGGCGGTCTGAGAGTCAGGCTCACTTATCAGCCTGGTCGGTCACTTGCGAATCCATCGCACAGAGACTGACGAACCAGTGCCTGGCGCACCAACCTACACCCACCGCACTCGCCTCCACTGCCCCCAATGCCCTCGCACCTTCACGCATCGCATGGGTCTATTCGGTCACATGCGCATCCACAACGAACTGCGGTTGACACCCGCCGGTTACACCACACATTCCCTCACTCCCTACCTTCCTCCACCATCACCAGCACACATCAACACTCACCCACCGCATGCACCAATCTGCACCTCCAACCCAAGTGGGAAGTGTGCATCTCGAGTCGGTCCCCATGCGGTTTCGGCTGCACGGGCTACTTGAGACTGAGTCTACCTCGACGCTTCAAACGTCGTGGATAAGATGGGTTCTGATTGACGCCTGCTCTCGGCTCACACAGTTCGTCGCGTTGTGTGTGTGTGTTTGTGTGTGTGTGTGTGTGTGTGTGTTTTCTGAGGCCTCAGAATTGGATGAACTCGAGGCCTACATGGCAGCCATCAAGAACGGTGCGCCTAGCCGTGCCGCCCGTCAGGCATTGAAGCAACGTCTCTTCGAACTGCGCCAGAAGGAACTGCGCCTCATGCGTCAGATGGGCATCCGTCAGCCGACGGGATTTAGGGGTGCCTTCTGCAGTTCAGCGTCCTCTTCGGCCGCAATGGCCGTCCGTGCAGCTCTCGAACGAAAACGGCAGCAACAGCAGCAGAAAGAGCCGGATCCTTCAGGGGATGGGTGAGTTTTTGTGGAACCACTCTTATCATTGGCCAGCACGAGGCGGGAAGAGCTCTGCTATGCCCACGTGTCTGTTTACAGGTTGGATCGAGCAGTGGTTTGTGACAGCTACCTGTTAACTTTAGAGCCTCGGTCGGCGTGCCCGTAAAGGCGTTGCCTAATTCTGGTTTTCCCCACTTGAGGGGTCGGCGATCGAGCCCGTTATTGACGTTACAGGGATTGTTATCACTGAGGCTGGCCCCGAATCATGAAAAGGATAATTTATTATGTCTAGGTACAGGGAAACGCTCAACTGAGGGCGGTACTTAAACCAAATTCTAGATATTTCGGCCACATTTTCACGAAGTGACAGGTCATAGATTATCGTACCTCGTACGGATAGGGGGCAACCGTACCCTTATGAACCCAACGTCTTTGACTGCGGGTTACCTTGGAAGCAATGAGACAATCTAACTTCAGCCAAAGTTGTTCTGTCCATCTGGAGAGTGGACCGAAGCGACCTAAGTGAGGACAAGCAGGCCGACCAGGAGTGCTCCGTTCACATTACTGTTCTTGGCGATGACTAAAAGTAGGCAGCCGGAGCTTTGCATCTTCTCGAATTTGTGAGTTGGGCTTCTTGTTTTCAAAGCTCAGAGACTAAATCGATTCACTCCTGTCAACTGCCGAGGATACATCGGGGGGAAGAGGAAAACCTCCGTTGCCTAAAAGAGTAGTTTCGGTTAAGTTGCGGCCAGGAGAACAGATGCCGAAATAACTAATTCAGACTGTCAATATGGCAGTGCCGAAGTGTCCTCTTGACGGTGGCAGGGGAAATTTGAAACGCATATTTTTCTTGGTGCAGTAAAGTGGATCCCCTGTAATTGGCTGTGTGCGGGGCTGAATACACGCTAAATGACGGTGTACTTTGGCGTGGATCACTCGTCGAGGAAACAACCAGTACGCGGTAGTAGTACTAGTAGTAGTAGTAGTAGTGGTGGTGGTCGCCTCCCACGCAAGTGGGAAGTGTGCATCTCGACTCGGTCCCCATGCGGCCTCGACTGCACGAGTGACTTGAGTCCGAGACTATCCCGACACGTCAAGTGTCGTGGATAGGAAGGTTGCCGACTGACGCCCGTTTTCGGTTCACGCAGTTCGTCACGTTGTGTGTGTGTGTTGTGTGGAGTGGCGGACTGGTGGGCTGGGGATGGGCTGAAGCAGCACCTTCCACGGCCCTCTCACGCAAGTGGGAGACACGCCGTTCTACCCCCGTTGTGTGAAATCCTGGTGTTTGTGTGTATGGGGGGCCAGGTCGTGCTGTGGCGCGCGCAGGCATGGTCAGTCGACCATGTCAGCCACCGCGCCCATTCCCCACTCCAGTCTACTGACCGGCTCGGACAGTGGCTGGGGTGTGGGAATGGGAAGGGAGAGTGAGGTCGACGACTCAGCGCATTTTCCTCACTATAATCAATCTGACGCGCTTGAAGCTATCACGGTGCGCTAAAAGCCGTGGCTTGGAAGGTTGCCAACTGACGGGATAACTTGGACCTCCTCCTTGACTGGAGGCGGTCTGAGAGTCAGGCTGCAATGGCTCTTTTTAATGTGGCCTTTATGGCATTCCCACCACAGTGTGGGATCCGAGACAGGCGGTGGCGGCACGCCCAGGTGCGGCTTCGGCCGTGCCAGCCTCCAAATCTCTGTTGTGTTGGTTGAAATCCTGGTTATTGTTGTGTGGACCAGGGGGTGTGGTGGAACGCCAAGGTGAGGATCCGTCCGAACCATCCACCTGCGGCCTCCCTCGTCTCCGGTCTTCTTGACTCTGTCTTGACACCGGGCCCAGGCGGGGGAGGAGGAGAGAGTGTAGGTAGATTCAGCGCAAGTCTACCCGCACTATAAACCCCTGCGTAAGTCACCGTCCCTGCTCCCACCGCTGCTGCAGCTGTGGGGCACACGGTGGACATCGTCGAAATCGACCGTCGAACTGTCAGTGTGTGTGTGTGTGTGTGTGTGTGAGGGGTGTAGGGGTGACCAGCGGTGGGTTCACGTGATGGTCGTAGTGGTCGCTCACTTGCTTGCAGGTGAGACTACACCTAGCGTCCATTTGCTGGCACCCAACTCTCACCTGTGGCTCCACGTAGCTGGGCTCTGCTCAGCGGCCACACCCCGGGCAACCGTCTCGACCGGCGGGCTAAACCAGGTGAGGGCGCTGTGCACTTGTGCCGAGTGCACAGCGTACCGCGGACTCCGCCGGATGGATGGTCGGATGAAACACTGCGCCGGCAACGTCGAGACGAGGCTCTGCCTGGTACGCCGTTGGATAACTGCTGCCGGGACGGGTCTCTGCATCG